GGGAGGTGTTTCCGTATTCTTTTAGATAAGCGCCGACTCGTACAACCGATATAACCTATTTCACAGGAGCAAGTAATTGAATAGATACACACAGCAGTGGTCTGCGTTGGCAGCCGATCCTTACCTTCACTGTGCAGGACCGGGGGTATATAATATCGCCCTAACTTTCGCTGCTGGGAGGGTTTGTGTTACGGCTTGGTTGAGGCGTCTGCTTAGGTGTTTGCTTGCTGCATCCCCTTGAAGGGTGACTTTGAGAAACAGCGTCTATTTTTCCACGGTGGGTGTGGTGGGTTAGGTTTCTCTTTACATCAGGTTTTCTTGGATGGATCTGTCAGGATACCCGTTCTCTCGATGCAGGTCCTGGATTCTCTTGAGCTCTTTCTCCCTTGTGTCTACCAAGCGGATTTTGCTAGACATTTGCGTTAACCAGCGGACTTAATTGCGCTTCTATTGGATCGGTACGAAGCTGTTAAAGTTCGTATACTATCCGGACTAGGTTTTCTTTCGATAAACGTTCCTTTAGATGCTACCTTAAGGTCCTCTGTTTAGGAGGACGTTTCAAGAAAGGAAGCGAGCCTGCCGTTTCCTCCTCCAATGCGGACTAACTAGAGGGGTGTGCTTGACTGACAGTATTTAGAAGCGCATATACATAAGTTTCTGCTGGAGTAATGGCTGGAGTATCGAAAACCAATGGGAAAAGCGTTTGACATATGTAGAATGGAACTTCACATAATTTTACAGAATGTCAGTGTTTAACAGCAAGGGCCTTTGTTCATTCTGAATACTGATCAACTGAAGGGCAAAAAATAAGATTGAGTGCACGTGCATTTCCGGATGCAAGTACTTTGTGCGAACGCAAAGGCAAGTGGCACCCAGGGCCGCTGAACACTTGCCTAATTCCAGCGATTATACCTATGTAAGCATTCGGAATGTCAAGTTAAGCGAACGAACTTTTCCGATTAATTCATCATCAGGCAGGGTAGGGTTAGCAAAATTTTAAGCTAATGACGAATTAATCGAAAACGTTCTTTCGCCTTACTTGACTTTCACAATTGACTTTTCAAGCAAAAAAAAAAAACAGACTCCCAGGATCTTCGATTACTTAACACCTGCTAGACAGTGATCGCTCTGTTGACCTTTAAAGCAGCTGTTCGAGTTCATTTTCTGGCACACACAAAGCGGACTCTTCGCTTCTTTGAAGCGGCCCACATACGGCGAGAGAAACCCGACCTGTGCAAGCAGCTGGGCCTATGGTCAATCTCCAACTACCTTGCTTATTTGTCAGCTAGTTTTCATCAGGACTTGGTTTGCGCCACCTTCGTAACCCCCCCCCCTCACCCATCTCCCTATAGGCGGATTATAGCTGGCATCCTTCAGTTGATCATTATTTACACTGAAATATTACCCTTGAGATCCTATGAAATGTAATCTGTTGTATGCTTCTAACCGCTTTCCAACTGACTCATGCAGTGATGGGCTGCAGTTGAAAGCCGTCGCAAAATTTGTTACATTCAATAAATCCCACTGTCTACACTTGCTTTAAACGAGTAATATATTTCAGTGTTAATTATCCTGGTTACAATTTGCACTTATTCCTTAATTATAAGAATTGTACTGATCAGCTTTATTAACTCTTCTGTGCGAACTAGGGTTTTTACTACTTTTCTGCGGTAGAAACTAACCAGAATAGTAGCTTTGACGAAGACACATTATGAATGCCACAAAGTCCTCAATTCTCCATAGTTTTAAAAAGCTTAGAATAAGTTAAGTCATCAGGCCTTATCTCACCTTTAGCATTCATTCTAAAGACAAGCACTATAGATCTCAGTAGAAATATGTCCACTATGATCACAAGATACGAAATCTGGCAAAATAAAGGACACAACTCCAATTCAAACAGTTTATGGTCATTTATTTCTCTCGATTTACTTAAATTTGTAGGGGTTCGTGTCTCAAATATTTGTAGTGCCGATGTCCGGTTCAGGCTTCATCGTCAGTGTTGTTCGGTCCATTATTTTGGGCATTGAACATGCTCGAATGAGGTCGGTCTCGCTGAGAGATCTCCTCTGCAATTCCATCGGATATACCGTCATGTCACCCATCTGCATGTCAGCTCCCTTTGTACTCTTCCAAGACTGGCTGAAGTGGAGAGAGGGCACAACTAAGGTGAGTTCCCATCATGAACATTCCTCGAAGGCCTCAGAAAAATCGTCGATTTTCCTTCTAGTGTTTAGCTCTAACTTAAATGGTTTCTTTCGCATAGTTAAAATCAACAGGCTCAAATGAACGGTCCTTTCAATGCTATCATTTTGCAATTTGTTCGATGTCAAAAATTACCGCTTCTTCTCACTCTCTCTCTTTTTAAAGAGTTTCTTATTTGCTTTATTTTCGTGTTTTTACTCGTGATTTCGTAAAAATGTTTGAATAAGTGGTTTTATGGAGGGTTACATGTTGGGTCTTTTTTGTAATTGCGTCTGTTAGGCCAACAAATACAGCATGAAGTCCTTAGTGGAGACTAATTGGCTGCTACGTAATCATAAATATTTCCAAAATGGACTCCTAAGATGTCCTTTTACATGTTTTTTTACAGCACAGGGACATTGGAGTTATACACCAAAGGAATTTTCTGTGAAAAATTACTAGTAATTTACAAAAGATAACTTATTAATTTGTCAGCTGTCTTTATAGATTTAACTCTTAATCCACTGCAGCTGACCTTCAATGTCCCAGTGACTGTCTTTGAAAAGTCTTTAAAGATAAATGGAAATTATAAAGGGACAATAAATAGACCAGCATAATATTGTAATTTTGTGGTGTATCTAGGAACATGCTCCTATTTTATGTCAAATTTCAGCCTTTTTTATAAGAATTCGTAAAATTTTATATTTTATCCGTTGGTGACTTCCATACCATACACAGCAAGCTTTAGTCTACCGATTTAGAGATATCTGCATTCTGTCTCTCATTCTCTGCTAATCTGGTTATGTTTTAGCCTTTTTCAGAAAAAACGTGGTGATTTTTTTACGCGCCATCCAAATGCTCTCTTCACCTATCCATGTTTTTATACTTTTTGGCTGATGTTATAACACAGCGACACTTGACAAGGGTCACGCGATTCGCAGATCGCATTGTTGATAAGGTCACCCATCCACTTCACTGTGCTTTAATGGCTGCGAAGTCTTTCTGTACTATATGCCGAAACGTCTGGTATATATTATGCCGTACATAGGCATATCAGCATTCTGTAGTCCCATTTCCAGTACATGCACGGAAATGGAAATCCGGAACCTGAGACTAGAACTTTCTCCATAAATGGTGCAGATTATATATATTTATTATATATTATTTTATGGATTTTTGAGTATTTTGCGAATTCATCCGTAAGTCTCAGTAAATGGAGGTGAAACCGTATTTTTCAGTGTATCGCTACTCGGTATGGTTCTTAACTGCTAGGGTTTAACCTACTTAATCTCCTGTGATAAATATAATGGTTATTACTAGAGACTTGGCGAGACTTGTCAGAAAATACCTTAACCGGGATGCACAGGTAGACGACCTGATAAGTCTTAACCACCACCTTTGACAATTATCAACATTACCAACAGTCATTTTTCTCTCGTCATCGGTAACTTAATATATCGCTGTTATTATTTTTGATTTAAAAAGCAGTTTTTATTATGAAAGAAAACACTTTTTATATTAAGTAAAATTTTGACACCATGTTTGTTGACGGGGCGTTAAACTGTGATGGCAAATAGCATACTCATTGCGCAGAAACAAATCAAACCCTGTGCTTCATTTAAGCAAGTTATAACGCCAGATGTCCTGCTATTCATGTGTCTATATTTAAGCACAGCAATAATTAAATAAACTTACGTCCCTGAATGAACTGTGCCCCTTGTTTTTGTGCATTGAGATTCTGTTTTTACTTCAAACTGCTGTTTGCTGCCATTCAATGTCTGAGTCTTGCAAGGACAGGCTGCAGTTGATGAGCAGTCATGAAATTCGTTGTTTCACATTTATTCCCGGGACCACATGCTTCAAATTACTTTAATGCATCTTTCATCATGGTTAAAACCTCGGCAAGCCTGTGAATGATTTGAGAGGTTCTAGATTGACTGCTCCAGAAATTTCATCTAAACGGTCAGATTAATGTGTAATAATTGGTGGCCCCCTTATGTTTTAGTTGGCTGGACCGATAACCCTACCTAAATATGAATAAACTGAACGCCCCCGATCGAATCCTCGTGACTCAGTTGGTCACAACCTGGACTGTGCTACACCCTTGTGATTTGGGATCCTACTGATGCCAAGAACTTTGTTACAGACGAAGGAAATGGAATCACTGGAACAATAATTGTATTTTCCTGACATTTCGGATTCTGTCGAGAATCCGTAATCATAGGTTACCGCGGAACGCTGCGAGGCATGCGCAGACTTGGGTGATAAATGCACAGATTGCGCGATATTTATAGTTCCTAGCAACCATCTCCATGCGTACTAGGATCATCAGCTCCTGTTACCACCACTGCAGATCGTAATTGGTGCGGGGATTGCTTGGTGGATCGTTTTCGAGTCATTACTTGCCGTGACTTCGTTGCCCCCGTTGAAAACGGGCTTTATAATTGCACAACAATTATGTCTGCTGAACCCTGCCCTTCCCACGATTCTCTTGCTTAGGCAGTGTATCCGTACGCAGTATGAGAACAGCGAATCGTTGCGCTTGCTGATGGACTGTGGGCCTGGGAAACTTGACCCCACCAGTTTGCAGCTCACGCGGCTGTCACCTATTGCGAGGATTTTGGCCTCGTTAAACTTGGAAATACGGATGGGTTCCGTCGAGTGAGATGCAACTTGGGAGTTTGCGTTATTCTTCTTCACCGCCGCTGCGTGCGCGGCCATTCGCGTCCGGAGCAATTACCCTGTCCGCAATTCCACCAAATCCGATAAATGACTCCTACCATTTCCTGTCGTGACAGTAGTTGCTTCTGGCCTGTGCGCGCACCATGCTGCGATTGCCTACGATTCTCAACAGAATCCGGAACCCCAGGAAGATAAAATTATTTTTCCAGTGATCGCATCTTCTTCTTCTGAACTGCTTTCTGGACCTCGCGTATTTGCTTTTACTTTGTTACAATTGTGTTAAGGCATTATTTCAATCTGTTAGAACGCCCTCACTTTTTCTAGTCAAAACAGTCTATTTTTTAAAAACCATGGCCAATCCAGACGTTACTGTAGTTTGTTTCTCAAAGACGTTTAGCCTCCTTTACTTTTGTATTTGAAAATGCGAAGCTATATTAATTGTGCGTGGATGCCATCGCCAAGATTATTATGACGGTAATTCCACTGTTTGCCAGATCAGTCACATGGAGCAGTGAAAATCCGTATGCTGTTTTCCTGCACCTATGAAACAAATACCACTTCTGATATCGAGCCCTTGCTTACCGACCATGTTCCCCAGGAATTTGTCGCCCAGTCGTCCTGCAAATCCCAGGCAAACAAAGTTCCACCTAATGCGTTTTCAAATCCACGAATTACAAAGGTCAATGCTTTCAATCACATTCAGTTTCGCAGGAAGACTATATGCTTATAAGAGGTGATTTAAAAAAAAATCACACCTTAGCTGTGGACTACAAACCCCGTTGTTTTAACAAGTCTGCAAACATATTTAGGGCATCTAACGAGTGCTCACTATAAAATTCTACAGCAGCGTCATATAGGCTATAAAAGCGTGGACTTTGAATGCTATTTATTTTACAAATATTGCGCACATTTCAAAA